CCTATGTAGGATTGTGTACATTCATTACCAGGAAATTCCTTTGTCACTATTACTCTTATTTTAACTACTTGTTACTAGTATCACTACTACTACTACTATGCTTGTTGTTGTTCTTCCTCAGCAGCAGCAGCAGCAAGAACTTGCTGCCCTCCTGCTGCTGCTGCAATGTACTACTACTACTACTACTAATCAGGCTCGCAAATAATCGAACCTGGGAGCACACCCACACACATCAGGCTTGCTTTTCCAAAAAGGGGAAGAAGCTTGTAGTAGTTATTCTTACTATCACCACCCCCAACACCAAGTGAGGCTTGCATACAATCTTGCAGGGACAAAAACACATTATTCAATGTTTTCCGATTGCACTCCTTGTCAAACAAAGCTTGCTTTACGACATTTTGAATCAAATGATCAATCCCCTTCGATCTTTTCTTCTTGTACTGCAAGCTTTGAATCAAAGACAGCACCAAGAACAAAACCCCCTAACACAGCAGTTCGCAGGAGTGCTCACTACCATACTAGTAACATCCCCACTACTACTACTAGTAAGTAGTAATAGAGGATTTCCAGTAGTAAGCACTCATAGTAATTCTCAAGAGGTGACCAATGAATTCACCTCTCCAGCACCAGTAGTACTAGTAAGGACCACTAATAGAAATATTTTGGGACTGACCTTAACAATTTTGTGAGTGTTTGTGTGGGGACCATCGAAAACCAGCCAGAATTTTGCTGTCTAGTAGAAAAACTATGGGTGGAAACTGCTCAGGGGTCTATTTAGTCAAGCTGGGTTAATCTTGCCAGGACTCAATAATGAAAAAAAACTGATGGGTGCCTACTTACGGTAAACGAAAACCAGGGACGTTAGGAAACAACGCATTACCAGTTACGTTAAGCTACTGTACCCAAGACTACTCCGACTAAGTAAATATGATGCTTATCTCCTACTTAGTAGTATACAAGTACAAAATGGCATGCGCCCGCCCAACCCCAAGAAAGTAGCTTTAAGTAAAGTAGTAGCTTTAAAGTCGCTTACTAAAAGTAGCTTTTTGGTAGCTTTAAAGCTACTTTTAAGCAACTTTTAAGCTACTTTAGTAAAGTAGTAGTAGCTGTTCTTTCTTAGTATCATGATGCTGTAGTAGAATTCAGCGGATAGTATAATTTGTATGTGATATTTAAACAAGCTACTTTTAGTAAGTAACTCTTAGGTAACATTGAAATTGCTTAAGAGTAGCTTAAAAGTAGCTTTTAAGTCAATTTCCGGTAGGCAATAGTACATGAAAAGGGCAGTAAATCAACAACAATAACCAACACATTGCTCTGCTTCTTGACTTAGTCAGACTAGTCGTGGTTCCAGTAGCTTAAAGTAACCGGTAATATGAGTCATTTCGTAACGTCCCAGAAAACGATACGGAATCTTTTACTACAGTACTTCGTATTTGGAACTGGAACCGGAACGGGAACGGGAACGGGAGTGACATGAGACATGACCCATTTTGATCATTTGTACGGTAACTGGTACACCATTCTCTCACCAGACTGATCCTGAAAGAAACTCATACCGAAGCTGTTCTGAATGATCATATATCGTCGCTAGCGGCAAAAGCGACTGTTTTTGTTATAATCACTTTACTCAAGTTCACAGCAGCCATGCCCATCGATTATTATTCACCATGTCTGTATGGATGCAGCCAGGAGGCAAATTCAGAAAGAGGATTTGTACACGCTGATACTACTCTCTGCGCGCTGATACAATAACATGGAGGACGCAGCTATTTTCATGCTTGAGTTCATGCTCGCTACTTCGGATCCGATGCACTTGCTTTACCGGTAGTATCGTCAGAATCGATGGKCATAAATCAACAATATTAAATACCACCATCAAGCACTGTTACGGTCTACGATTGCGGAGACACCGCTAATGAGAAACGTCACGAATTGCACCTGCGCTGCTCTCAATGCCCACAGCAATCAACCCCATAAAATTCTATCGTCACGATTGCCAACCAAATTGATATTTGCGCCTCGCCTCGGTTTACTCCTGTTGCTGTTACTCCTTGTAGATATTGATAATCATCTCATCAAAGAAAGAACAAATGACTCGATTCAAGGCGGAAAACGATCCACCGTTGATGCGAAAGAAGATAGACACAAAGGAGGAGAAATCACCTTCTAATAAAACGCAAATGATTATCTGCGAAGCAACGGTCCGAAAAGCGAGTGGTTATTGGGGTCTACGATTGACGTATTGAGGATGCATCGAACAAGCTATACCCGCCTTCAATTTATGATCACTGTCWAAGATGACAAAAGACTACAATGTTCCTTTGAGTTTCGATATGTTATCAATGCATTTCGGTCTACGATTGCTGTTAGAGTACGTCAGTGATGTTACAGTTCTAGAATGCTGACGCCCTTCATTTGCACAAGGAGCTCTATTCAATCCATGTTTACGGGCTGATACCATACGGCAGASGAGATGAGAGCGCTAGGTACATATGATATTTTCCATTGATGCAGTCTCTTCTTTCAAAAGTCAATAGTTGCACGTTTTGGGACAAGATCGCCGACGGTCGTCTCCTCTCGCAAATAGGGTGTTGGTCGTAGTTATTCAGACTTTGTTGAATATCACTGTCAATCTGGACACTTCACATTCGTCAAAAATATGGTCACCTGTATCATCATCGTTTTCTCGATTTTTGTGGACAGTACGATAACAAACGGSATTYATCAAGATGAATCGAAGTTGTCGAAATTGTAGCTCCTTCGGGATTTGGTGYATATAGAGATTGCATCTCCCCAACAGTCCTTGATTGACCCTCATATTTTGACATCTACATATGCCAAAATGTTTCTCRATGTGCTTCAGAATTGGCGTACCGGAGTCGAGTTGTGTCAAGTATTGTGATTCATTTCTGTTCATGGATTAGTAATTAGTTTTGTCTATTCGCTCTGAATTTTTGTCACAGTTGTACTCTACGAGCCAAAAGAGGGTTCATTCGTTTTGTCAATGCTAAGAGCAGAGTAGAGCTAATACGACAAACAGTATCTCGCACTGCCTGAATAAGGCACCCCTTCTTTCCTGYCTTGTCACGCTCTAGTCTCACTGCGTCTTATGTTTCCTACTCMATCTTCAGAAATGTATCCATCTTAGCTCACTATAACGACAACCGAACCCACAATATTCWAGCTTTCAGTTGAATTTTAATACAAAACCATTTCTAGGCTGCAACTATCACTTTTTGTGTTTGCTTTTCTCTCTTTCTTTATTTTTTTGTTCTATCATTTGGATCTATTCGCGGGTTCAGATAGACCCAATTCAGTTCGTAAGCTTTTCCAAGGTCACGGACAAGCACCGGGCGACCTTGGACTCAAGATATTACGGGAGCAGCGACTTCGGGGGAACTTCCTTTGCTACAAGCGTTGGTACCTTGTCTTGTCTCTGTGCTGTGCTTTGCACGTGGCCTGAATCTACGGCCTCGAGTTCATCATACTGAACAAGGTTGCAAAGAGCCATCCAGTGCTCTTGCTCATCGTCCCGAATGTTCCGAAACACATCATATAGGCTGTTTAGGGAATGCGGACCACACCTGCGAGAAGGAATTGGACATGGATTCGCACCACTGTATTSTTCTTGTTCTTCGTGCACCAAGCTATCGGCATCTGGAACGGCACAAAATGAATTAAAGAGAAATGGGTCCTTTTCGTAATCTTTTTCGTAGTAGCTCTTGGCACTCTCAGGTACCGGAATGGTACGGAGCTCTGGTTCGTACTTAGCCAGAAACTGAAAGAGAGAGCRAAAGTGTACGCAAAAAAGGACAATGTGAAGAATGAGATGTAATCGAAACATTGGCTCTCGGCAAAGGAAYGAGCGAACTGAATAGTTAATCGCCATCACATCCATCCAATGCCTCCTGCATTGTGTGATATATTTACTTCATTCTATTTCATTCTACACTAATGCACTCACCTCGTCGTAGTCAAGGACTGCGTGCTTTTCCATTACCTCGCCCAAGTGGTATGCCACAGGTTCGTTGAAGAGAAACACTGCCGCCACAAATGAGTAATACAAAAATGCTAGACACTGGGCAAGCCATACTACCACCACCATTTKTGTCGTTGATGATGCTGGTGCTGGTTTTGTGTCCTGGTGGAAAAYACGCCGAAGAAAATTGTTTTCGATGTGTTGTCTTTTGACCGCATCATTTTTATTCGGATTCGCTTTCGCATTCGAACTTTGGCTGGTACTSTTTCCAACACTTAAAGATATTAATTCCTTCATTATCACCATGTGGTGTAATTCGTTGTCAAACTGGGCATAGTGAGTGTTCATTTTCCCCATGCGTTGAAGATTGGCATGATACTCTACCTGAGTGTCCGAATTGTCACTCCGGCTTTCCTGTCTATTGTTTGCATCAACGCCTTTCTTGCTGCTGCTGCTGCCGTCTCTAGTACCAACTTTTCCTCGATCCCCAAATGTTTCTTTGATGTGCATCATGGACAGGTAGGCAAAGAATGGAATCCGCGAGAGCGTTTCCAATACATAAAACTTTTCAAATCGTAGGACGATGCTKCTCTTAATTGTGTTCGAACCGTTTTCAATCGTTGTATTCGTACTCGTCGGATATAATTTGCCAATGGTATCATACATAGTATTGGCAAAGATCTGGTTAAAGTTGAACACTGATGCCTCAATAGTTCGCTGCTGCTGCTGCTGCTGCTTGTGTTTACTTGTATCTAGTAACGGCTTGGGTAAAGACAAATCGACACTTTCATAGTCTTCACTTACTTCTTTATCTTTKTCCATTGCATCGCCTCTTGCTACCGCTACTGTACGGTGACGAAGGAAAAACGGGATAGCGATATTGCTAGTAGTAACAGCCTTGGGGGAGCGTGGTCCAACAACGAAGGGTGTGTTTTTGACGTTGTTTCTGCTGCTGCTGCTACTACTACTACTACTACGAATGATTTGATCGGAAGCTACAGTGGTTGCAGTACCATTGATCCGGTGGATCTTCACATTGTCTTCTTCGTCTTTGCCATCCTCACTCGCCTTCACTTCCTCACTTGCTGCTTCAGCTTCGCWATTGTGGTATTCTTGCGGTTGTTCTATTTCGAGCTGTACGCGCGATTCGGAAAGGAAGGACTCGAATTCAGCGTGATGGGCCAAGAGAATTTCTTCCGTGGTGTTTTGATTCTTGTCATTAGCAGCAGTAGTCGTCATTTTTCCGCTTTCAGTTGGTATGAGAGCTCCTTCCGAGGGTTTTCTTGTTCCGTCGGTATTTGTTGCTTGTAACTGAGTCGCTGATGGGTGTTTATTGGTACTTGTAGTCAGTATCTGGCGCAGTCTCCTCGCAGTAGATGCCTCGCTTGTATCAGCACCATGAAATAACTGGCTAACTTTCCGTTGGTGATGATACAACTTACWCTGGTGTCCAAGTCTGTTGTTTATATTGTGGTTGARGTCGCTTTTATGATTGGTTTTGCATGTGACCCACGCAGCCGCAATATCACATGACGCTGTACCTRCTGAGTGCCCTGCCGTTGTAGAAGTTGGTAAAGTCACCAACACAACCAATAACGTCCGAAGCATKAATATGAGGTGGAGAGGCTTCATTGAATTTCTTTCTGTAATAATATAAAACATGAAACTTGTGAATGCATTAGTATTACTTGAACTGGAAAGCAGATTCGAACTGAGTACAAACGCTAGAAGACATGTAATTCGAAATTGCTGTGCTTATAGCGTATTTTTGTTGCGATSTATGCAACGACGACCTGTCAGAAAACGAAGGAACAAAATGCACAAACGAAGGATGATGATGGTGAGAAGATCGTTTTCAAGGCGTCTGTTTTGATGGATGCTGATGGGTTTGTTTTTAGGAACTCTTTTCATCGTATCGGGTCCCGTAAGTAGTAGTATCACCATCAGTGACGTTTGCTATTCGAACTTCKTGTAAAAGGAGAACCATCTGGTCTCTCCTGCTCCTCTGTACCATCTTATGCAAGAAAGGAATTCCAACTTCTGCAAGAGAAGGTTAGAAAGGACTGTTGCATGCTAGTAGTAGTA